TATATATATATATATATATATATATATATATATATATATATATATATATATATATATATATATATATATACATATATGTAATTTATTGCCATTTATAGTTGCTATGACATGTCTTTTCTTCTAAGTATAAGTATTTAATAAATCTTTATTTTTTTATATTCTCAAATCTATCATAATTTTTCATCGTAAAAGTTAAATTTTTTCAAAATAAATTTTGTAGCCTACTAAATTTAGTATTTCAATAAAGAATATCAAATTAAGATAAAAATTTAGTTTGTTTACATTATAAAATTTATAAAGTCAAAACAATAAAAGTTTCGTAATATTTTTATAAAGAGAATAAATCTTTTTTTTTAAATACATGATAATGAGTTTTTTTATTTATAATGTGAGTATATTTTTAGATTATCAAGAAAATATTTCTTATTGAAGATAATTATTATTTAAAAGAAAAAGAGTTAATTGAGTAATTGTTTTTTTTAGCGGTAATGTTTTGCTGTATGATATATGAAGAAAAATGATGTAGTAAAAATTACAATAAAATTTAGTAATCTTGGTTTACATAGAAATTGTACATATTTGTTTTCAAATGTATGTTTGACTTTTTATTACAAAATTATTGTAATTGTGTGAACATTTTTCATATCGCATGTTTATAGTAGATCGTCAAACTTACTATTTACATAGTAATTTACTACAATTACTATAATATATTAATATAATTTAGAAGAAATGTTACAGTTTAGAAGAAATGTTGTAAAATAAAATATAATTTTAATGTAATTTTTATTACAATATTTTCTCAGTGCATAAATGTCAATGACATCAACGTCAAAAATAAAAGTGTTACACACGTTTAACTTTCTACTACAAAATTACTGTAATTACTTGAATGTTTTTTATGTGTTATATTCAAGTAGACCATCAAAGTTATTCCTATAGTAATTTATACCACAATATGTCACTATAATCGAACTTTACAAAAACGTTGCGAAATAAAATATGACAAAAACGAAACTTTCATTATATTAATATTTTTTCTAGATTATATATATATATATATATATATATATATATATATATATACTGTACTTATATTTTCTCTTCATGTAGAAATGTTATTAACATCAATCTAAACGTTTTGGTCGATATTTTTGACTCTCTTTAGTAGAGAAAGATCCATTTTCGCAAAATATCATATTAAGCAATAGACAATCCATTCATAAAATGTTGGCATTCAATTTACTAAAGAATATTTTATCAGGATAGAATATGCTGTAATCTATATGCCATAAAAGAATGCAAATTACGTTTTTATTTGCCTATTAACCTGTGACGAAAAGTGTCTCTGATAATTAAATCAAGAACCAAATCTGCGTAAAAAGCATATTTAAATACCGGTCTTCTCTCTCTTTTTTTATCTCCTCTCTCTGTCTCTCTCGTTATCTCTCTCTCTCTCTCTCTCTCTCTTTCTTTCGCTCTTTCGGGTACATGAGAACGAAACGAAGAGCACTCTTGCCTCCGAAAAAATGAAACGAAAAATGAAGACGATTTTCTGTCGTTTACGGCACAGTTTTCTCTCCGCTCGAGACGCCATCCGCGTTTAAATCTCGCACGGAAATTATTATCATCACTGTCATCATCATCATCATCATCATCATCATCGTGGTCGCCGATTATGGTTATCGCAATTACGGATATAATTTGTAATCGACCGACAATCGCATCTGTAATCCGCGATTAGCAACGGGCTGATTGCCATTTCATCCGTTTCCTCACGCTCGCGGCCCCCCTCGATCTTGGCGGATATTTAACGATAAGAGGAGGACCGGCCCGGAAGGATTAAGCGAGGACGTCTCGCGCTGCCACGGAAGAAGGCGAAGGCGGGCGCGAGAAGTAGGTCGGAGAGAAGTCTCGCTCCTACGTCGCTCGGGCGCACGAGGAGCCGCCGGCTGAGCGCCTCCGTCAGTCTCGCGAAGATATTCCGGGAGTCAACAGGTGCGTAGGAGCAGAGCCTCGGACAACGTCGTCTCCTCTTCGGCTTCTCTTTCACGACACCCCGCTCATTGCTCTCGTGTTCCGCCTCCTTCTCGTCTTCGAGCTTTTCTTGGGAAGGGATCCGCCGGTAACCGTGACGTTTTCCGAGAGAGATACGCGACGGGGTCGCTCGCGTGAATTTTCGCGGATCATGCGGTCCTAAGAGGCGGAAAAAATAGGGTGACGAAGAAGAAGAAGGAGCTTCATTCGGCGCACTTGGTGTCTCCTCCCAGGACGTTTTGCATTTTTTGTTTCCTCTTGGAGACTGCTAGGAAGAAGATTTAGGAGACATGACGACGACGAGGAGACTCGAGGTAATGCCGATCGATTTTTGTAGATCGCTAAATATACGTGTGATTTGTCGCGCATTCGGGACGACGTGATTTTTTTACACGGAGAAAATATTGTAGTAAGAATTACAATAAAATTCTTGGACTATTGTGATCTTGGAGTTGCTATCTATATTTAATTAAAAAAACTTATGCCCTCTTGATTTTTGCCATAAAATCACTGTAATTATCTGAATGTTTTTTTTTTATATCGTATATTTGGTAAATCATCAAGTTTATTATTTCTGTAGTCATTTATATTACAATTTCAGCATAGACTTATTTTACAAAAAATATCGCGAAAAGAAAACATAATTTTAATGTAAATTGTACTACAATATTTTCTCCGTGTGCATTACTACAAACATGGTAAAAGCATTGAAGAAAATTTACATCAGAAAAAAACTATAATATTCTCTCCGTGTACTAAATCTCACGAAATCAAGTTGGACACTTCTGGTATTTTTGGTGAAATCTGAGCGACTATATTTTTATTACTTTTAATAGTAATTTATGCTATAATATTAGTACAGTCCAGTTATGCAAAAGACATTGTAAAGAGAAGTATAATTTTTACTACAGTATTTTTTCTCTATGCTCGGGAGGTTGTACCAATTTTACAAGACCGTTGAACGGGAACATCTGTCATTAGAGTAATTTGTTTTCGAGACTAGTGATCCTTCGCTTCTCAGAATGATTATTCGACATTCGGAAATGTACAGTTAACCTTTTCAATGGTGATTTAAAAGACTATGCGATTTCCCCTAAGGCTAGTTTTGTTCTCATTTTTTAAGCATATCTATACATTCCTTTTATTACTATTTTTTAAAGTATTTTGATAAGTAGAATATTATCATATACTAAATAGAATACTATTTTGAAGAATAGAGTAGAAAAATATATCTAATTTATATTTATCATGAGTTAAAAAGAATATATATATATATATATATATATATATATATATATATATATATATACAATAGTTTAATTAAATCAAATGAAATATAATATTTTATCATACCTGAGAACTTTTCCAGGCGTACATTTAAGGGATTAATCAATACCTATCGTACAGGAGGAAGAGAACTGCCCTTTAGTCTTACTCAAATCCTCTTCCGCTTTGGCAACCAATTATGCTTCTACTTCCACGGGGCATCCGCGGGTCATTAATGATTATACATGGTCCCTCTTTCTCATGAATGGGATCCTAGTAAAACCAAAGCGACGTGTACTGTGATTAATTAACGCGCAAGAAAGATAACATATAGCTTTTCGCGCCCGTGTGTTACATCACACACGCATACAAACACGCATCACACACACATACACACAAACACATATATACACCTACATGCCCATTATCTTCATCTTGCCTTCGCTTACGATGGTCGTAATAACGAACCGTGAACGATTTCGCGAGTTCGATATCATCGCATTAAATCTCCAGCATCGTGAGCCAACATCCGCGCTTTGCGGGCATGCGTAACAATTGATCGCGATGAAATGTAATAATGATCGCGAAGCGCGGGTGAGTTGGTTTCCGGCTGAGCGGCTGTAGATCGGAAGAGGAAAGAAAAGAGAGAGGAAAAAAGAGGAACTAGATCGGCTTAATTGCCACCCAATTAACGTCGACCCGCGGACTTTTTGGAGCGGAAACCGCGGGGTGACATGCATCGGTGCCACTCTGTGTGTGAGCTTCATGTGCGATTCTATGCTGCCCGATGCGCTTTAATGTACCGCGCCGTCGTCCATCGTGCGAGTTAACTGGCCGAGATCCGTTGCAAACTTCGCAACAATGAGATTCGGCCGAATTAGTTGTTGTCACAACGGTGCGCCTGTCTCTTTGTTCGAGGGTAATCCGGCGTCGCTTAGATTAGATGCAGTTTTCCGAGCCCGGAAATGGAATTTGATGAAGACACACACACACACACACACACAGAGAGAGAGAGAGAGAGAGAGAGAGAGAGAGAGAGAGA